GAGGCGATCGCTACTAGGGTCGAGGCCATCGCTATTAGGCTGGAGGCAATCGCTACTAGGGTGGAGGTCTTAAAGATTGTTTTTTTGTGGGTTCAACTCGGGAAGTCAAGTCGACGACCCGAGAAGTGGTGAACGCGGGAAGTGCACCAGTCACCGGTTTCTGTCGAGAAAAAGTCTGGAACACTTCTGAAATGTCCTCGCATGTCTATGTTCTGCCAAAGATTCGGGTGCCTCACCCTCCTCAACGACCCAGGATTTGGTCAATTTGATTGAGTTCTGTGATCCTTTCTGGAGTTGATCTGTTTCTGCAGATCCTCTCCAGATTCTGTAAACCCAGATAAGTCCGTCCCTCGCGCCTTTCTGGTTGCACCAGGTCGAAGACATGCGGAAAGAGACTGAAGAGCATCTTCTTTCGATTCACGACTCTGTCCGGGACTTGACAGGGCAGAGCACAAAGGAGCAGCATGCCAAGCATGATGCGCGCGGTGGGTAAGATTCTTGCTCTGATCACATTAGATTCATGACGAATCAATCTGGTGCATGTGGCGGGTATGAGGAAAATGTACCCAGGCTAGCTACAAGGTAGAGTCGACAAGGAAATAATGATTTTGCAACAGTTGGTTGGGTAAATCCCAAGTCGTACAAGTCTGTGTGGAGGTGCTTCTACTTGTTGTGAGCATCTCAGATGGCAGCTGTGGTGAACCCACCATATGTGGGTCCAAACATAGTGACGCCGGTCATTTGTAGCATTAATCTCAAAAGATGGCCTCCAACCTACTAGCAACGGCCTCCAACCTAATAGCAATGGCCTCCAACCTGGAAGCTTCTTGTTACTAGTAGCGATGGCCTCCAACTCCGCACAGCGGCACTGCAGGACATGCCTTGGGCATGCTCTGAAGACCTGGATGAGGATGAGACGCCCGAGCAGCCTCCGCCCAGCACCTCGACGAGTCCGTTGGGCGCAGATTCCTTCGTTTCGGAGAAAAGGACTCTGTTAGCATCCTTGCTCCTTGTAGTAAGGCCAAGAGCCCCTAGTAGCGTCCTTGCTCCTAGTAGCAACGCCCTTTGCCCCTAGTAGCGTCCTTGCTCCTTGTAGTAAGGCCAGGAGCCCCTAGTAGCGTCCTTGCTCCTAGTAGCGACGCCCTTTGCCCCTAGTAGCGTCCTTGCTCCTAGTAGTAAGGCCAGGAGCCCCTAGTAGCGTCCTTGCTCCTAGTAGCGACGCCCTTTGCCCCTAGTAGCGTCCTTGCTCCTAGTAGTAAGGCCAAGAGCCCCTAGTAGCTTCTTGCTCCTAGTAGCGATGCCCTTTGCCCCTAGTAGCGTCCTTGCTCCTAGTAGTAAGGCCAGGAGCCCCTAGCAGCGTCCTTGCTCCTGGTAGCGATGCCCTTTGCCCCTAGTAGCGTCCTCGCTCCTAGTAGTAAGGCCAGGAGCCCCTAGTAGCGTCTTTTGTTCGTAGTAGCGATGCCAGGAGCCCCTAGTAGCGTCCTTTGCTCCTAGTAGCGATGCCCTTTGCCCCTAGTAGCGTCCTTCCTCCTAGTAGCGATGCCCTTCGCCCCTAGTAGCGTTTTTGCTCCTAACATTGGGGACACCAGATCGATTGCTGAGGTTTGCAGATTGTTCTCCCTCAGCTCCCTCTCCATAGGCCCTCGTGTGCGTAGCTTGGCTGTGGGCCTTTAGCCTTTCAATGTGGAAGAAGCGGTGGTGAAAGAGAGCCAGAACAAAAACAGCAAAACCGTCCACATTGCAAGCTGCGAATTAGAATACTATAATTAATTCATTCTATTTGGGTACTTTCGGAGGAAAAACGTGCTTTGATCCAGTCTCCTGTGGCCATGAGTTGCAACATTCAACGGATCCTAAGCTGCTCTGCTTCCATGTTTCAGCTGTTCCCACAAAGGTGCAGCTGTCAGTTCCCGCTGAGGTCAGTGGACTTAGGCTTTATGCCAGTGAGTCTGGATCAGGCAGACAATGCTGACGATTGAAGAGGTTCTGCAAAGCAGACCCTGAACACTTATTCTTGAAATTCACAAAAGCACAACACAGAATAACTACGCAGATGTACAAGGCACTCGTAAACAGAATCGACACTGATGCATTTAGGCATACAGCCTTCGACTTTGTGCTGCTGATGGAGTCAGTGGCGAAATACCTTTAACAGTCCTGTTGGCCCCGGAGGCCTGTAGGTCCCCGGCCGACCATGCGTGACCGACCTGGCTGGGCTTTTTCTGCGTTTTCGGCAGCCGGTCCTGGCCGAAGTCGTCCAGTTGCCCTTCCACGACCAACGGAGGGAAGTTGCTCTCGCGACGGACGACGCGTGAGCCGTGTGCATGTCGACGAGAGCACTTTGGTTCTTTGGATCCGGGACGGAGCTTGGCTCTTGGCGCTTGGCGCTTGGCAAGCTTGGTGCTGGAAGTCTGACGTGAAGGACACCTAGGTTGGAGGCCATCGCAAGTAGGTTGGAGGCCATTCCTGCTAGATGTCTTTTTCTAATAGGGTGAAGGCCATCGCATTCCAGTCATTGATCAATGGAAAGAAGTCCATTGGATCCACCTCTGAATTCGCGGATATGGCGGTCTGCTCTACCGAATGTTCCCCACGCGGTGTGGTCAAACGCCCGCCCCTTCTTTTTTGTGGATTTGCAGCAAAGACCGTCCAAAAAAGGGACACATCGGAAGCGAAACGGGATGAAGCGGGCTTTCCATGTTTGCACCTGGTATGAAGCGGGACAGATCCCGCAAAGCATCATGATATCGCATGTGACACTGGGCTCTGAGGCATGGGCTTCAACGACCAGGAGGGGCGATGCCGACCAAGACAACAATTCTGTGGACACATACCACAAGTTCCTCCAACAATAAAGAAGCAAAACGCATTCAATAGTTGGATCTCTTTTGTTTGTTCACTTGTCAGCTCTGATGTTTGGGAAGGTGGTCTCAAACCTGGTCTCCTGTATAGCGAGTTGCGAGGTAGGCAATAAGTGAGTTGAGTGCCGCCACTCATTTGATCCTTTCGATCCCAGTGAGAATCAGCAGTTTCTGTTGTGGATTCACGTTTCTAAGCTGAACTCACGGACAATACAGATCTCTACTCACTCCTTGCGAACCACACACGAATGCTATCTTTTTCGCTTCCTTTTTCCTTCTTTTGTTTTCTTTCGAGCATTTTCATCCTCTTTTTCGAAAAGACCTTTCTGATTCGGGAAGAATGGAGCTTTGTACCGACAATCACATCCCGAAAACAATCTAATTAATAGCTTCTTGTTACTACTAGTAAGGCACCTGTTACTACTAGCGTGGCACTTGTTTCTACTAGCTTAGCAACTTTTGTTTCTTTCTTTTTCCGAAGCAGCACATCGGTTTGGCGCTTTCGCGTTTCAAATCAGAGGAGATCGTGGCCTTGAGCGGCGCCCACGGGCTGGGAGCCTGTCACACGGATCGCAGTGGCTTCTGGGGACCCTGGACACGTGCGCCCACCACGGTGAGTGCCCTGGCAGTCCGAGCTTTGAGGTGCATTTTTGACAGAGGAGAAGGGAGAGCGTTGTTTCTCGTAGTAGCGATGCCAGGAGCCCCTAGTAGCGTCCTTGCTCCTAGTAGTAAGGCCAGGAGCCCCTAGTAGCTTCTAAGGGAGAAGGGAGGGAAGTGGAGGGAATAGACCAATTGAAGGAATATATAATGATAGAGATGGATACAGATGCAAGGATGAAGGCATGACGCAGAGGCTAGGAAATGGCCTTGCCATTTTCGCCTGAACTCCCAAACGCACTATGGTAGGGAATGAAAGGATTCAGAGATCAAGTTGTCAAAACATGTGGTGTTTGTGTTAGCATCCTTTCCGACTCGTGCATCGATTGTGCATCCTTTGTTCGATCCGTCTTCGACGCCTTGGTTCGATCGATCCGTCGAAGAGAAGCTGAGGCAATGAGTACTATCGTGAGCTGCTGGAGAACACTTGGCACCTCCCTGAAAGAGTTCCAATTGGAAAACGATTAAACAACGATGAGCAATGTGATTCAATGATTCAAGTTGGTTCTACTTCTGCTAGACAAGCTATTCCAATGATTGGCCTTTGGACATTTTTTGAAGGTTCAGAATGCAGGAGCATCGAAGCAAGTCCAGCTTCTTCGCCGCCGAGGACCATCAAGACCACCCACAAGGGCAAGCCATGGAAGGGCCCATTGCAGTTTGAGGATCCAACAGGCGCGTGTTGTGTGGATCAACTCCGTGGCTTCTTTCACCCAGACTCCCGCACCTGTCACTGGTGTCCCAACTGCTGTTTTTGTGTCACAGTGCACTATCAAGCCGCTATCTTGCTGGCTGTTTGTATTAGGGTCTCCCAAATTCTTGACTGTGCATCGAAGAACTGGTTTTGGAAAGATATCGTCGCAAACGACTTTCAAGATCTTGGCCAACACGGGCTGCTGCGGCAACCAGCTTTGTCCAAGAGCTCTCAACTTCCAAGCGCTATTGTAATTTTCCAATGGTGACTTCTTGTTCATCTCGACGTCTATATAAGTTTCTTGAGCTTTAGTCAACATCCACATACACTGTCAAAACTCAGTTAATCAAAGTTGAAACGATATTTTTAAACAAACAAACAATATATAAGTGAGCCACTGGCAAAGCACTCCGCTCAGGCGATTTGATGATGCTGCCTTCAGACTTGGTGCTCATCCAGGATTGGACGTTTTTGATAAAAGGTACCTGATTGCACGATTGCACTCAGAGAGTTCATTCAGACCTCCTACTTTTCGAAAAAGCCTCGGCAGCCTCTCCAACGGATTCCGACATGGATTCCACCTACGTCTTGAGACCAGGATCGCAGCTTCCGAAAGTATGTGGAGATGTATGCGAAGGAGTGGTTTTTCAGTGGACAGGTGGAAACTCACCAACGATGACGCAGAAAAGAAGTAAGAGGTTTAGAACAAGGACGGTGCCCTTACTTACCTTCCTCTTAGGAAATCTATCTTTCTTTATACCACCTGCTTTTCTATAGCATATTTCGGTCTTGAATCGCCAAGTTGCGCCTGTGAAACTGCAAGACTCTGAGGGCAATACTCTGTGATCAGCCCGGTCGGCAGTTTGAGAACCCATGCCCTGGATGAGCGATGAGAGAAACGTGGCAGGATGATGCTCGCTTTCAGAAGGACTTCGCCCAGGTAGTGGGGAAGCTCTTTGGGCCTCAAGCCTAGTTCAAGTGAAGGGGAAAAGAAAAAGAAAAATAAAAATAAATATAACATAATATAAATATATATATAGCAATTTCAATTTCACTTCGCGTAGCGTGCCGACAGTCGGTATTTGAGTTGTGTTTCTTCTTCAAAGAGCTTTTCTCTAAAGAAAAGTATTTTTCGTCTGAAAGAGAGTCGTTGGACTGGTGGACCAAGTCGCTGAGGTTGGGGTGTGCAGAGTCGAAGCGCTTCGGCTTTTTCTGAGCGCAGGGTTTGTGTCGGAAGGTCTTACCACTTGAAGCAACTCACATGCAGTAGACAAAGGGACACGTAGAATAGATCAGGATAGCCGCAAAACGGTAATTGATTTCTGCTTTAGACCAGGACCTAGTACTAGTTGTACAACCTACACAGGGAGATTCCGTTGTTTAGAAGGTGCCTTATTTTCATGACTCCCTCAGGTTTGTAGGAAACGACCTTTTGAAGTCGCTTCGAAAGAGTGCGGCAGATTTCCAGACTGCCTCAATCTTTAATCCCTTCCGCGTCTTTAAGCGGGACCTCTTGCACCACACGGACACGGATGCATGGTGCACAGATTTTTGAGCCAGCTAAATATGCTAGAATGCTTGGCGTCACAGTCACAGAATTGTCACGCCTCGAAACACTTCACGCCGCGATGAAAAGCAGTCTGTTCGGAGGTGTGGGATCCGTGCTTTGTGTAGCTCGATTCACAATGTAGGCAGGGGGAAATCCTATCAGACAAACTGATGATTTTTTTGGAATCCTCATTCACTGTGAGGTTCTCTCCTGTTCAGTCAGGGTTCTTTTGGTTGAGCATGATGCTTTTCAGGATGTACCCCGCACGCAAAGGTTAACGGTTAACGTTATCAGTACCAGCCTCGGCCGATGTATATACAGAGGAAAGAAATGCGCCAGGCGCCAAAGAAGCGCTGGGAGCCCAGGATTAGCTGACGTTCGCCTGGCGAAACCTTCAGAAGTGGGCGTTTTCCGTGTCGATCAAGCGCAAACACCCGAGCTCATCTTCACGACACTAGACCTGTCATGACCTTTTCTCGAATTCCTGTTTCTCTCTTCATTTCTTATCGTAAGGAACTTGGGTTCTTCGTTTCCTTCTTTTTTGTCTCCTTTCGAAGGTCGGAAATCCTCCAAAGAAGCCGACGCCTCGGTCGAAAAGGAGCACCGTGCACCCATGCGACCCAAGCAGAGCAAAGGCAGTCTAGTCGACTTGAAGTAGGGTTTCTGGACAAATTGGGTAGTTTAAGTTTTAAGTAAGGATGCGGCAGAGGGGACAGTACTGGCTTGGGGAGAACCTCTCAGTTGTCGAGGGAAATCCAACCTAAAATCCACGCCCGAGGACAGTGCTCGGGTTTGCAAGAAACTCTTGTGGGAGTGCTGGATGGCACAGTGGCATGTCTCCACGGTCTGCCTTGATATCCCGGATCTAGCCCATCTCTTCTTAAACAGAGTCCCAGGGTCAAAAGAAGGCTTGCCAGTAAATGCATCAAGCGATTCCATATTGCTTCCACTACCTGAGTTTCTCAGGATTGAACTCAGAAATTGCACATTGAGATCACACCCTTGTGTATGAGTCTAAAGCCATGGCGTTGTTCTCATCCAAAAAGCCTCAACCGCCTTCGCCCAAATGGGCAGCTGCAGAAGTAAAGACTGACTTTCCAGAATCAGCCAAGAAGGCGTGGAAGGAAGGTTTGTCTAAGCCGAAAGAGAAATTCTTGGAGCGCAAGGAGGAATTGACAGAATGGTTGGGAGGGGAGAAGAAATTTGATGAAATCGTTAAGAAAATTGAAGATCGAGAAGAATGCCATTGGCTAGAACGCTTTTACGTGAGCAAGGACGAGGATAAGCCTAACGCTTGCACTCGTGTTTGTTTCAAGGAGCAGGGAGATGCCATCCCTGCTGGAAGGGACAAAGAGTTTCAGGCACCAAATTCCAAAGTACACTTTCTTTTTTGCACTGCAATCTACTAGCGATGCCCTCCAACCTAATCCATTGTAACCAGAAAAGTTTGGATTTGCTATGTTTTGCTCGTTCTTGAATATGATAGTAACCCTCAAACACAGCAAAACAAGTTGGCCACACATGGGTGATTTGAATGTTGCAGTTTCTCTTTGGACCACATGACCTGACATGCGTGACGAACTGAAGCGCGACGCTTTCGCGCTTCAGGACTACCTGGCGTTTTTACTCAAGGTGCAAGACAAGGTGAAGAATATCCAAAACGCGCAGCAGGGTCAGCAATTCGTCAAGCAGTGGGAAGCTTCAGTGCTAAAACTCCCAAATGCCCAGCTCCAGGGTGCCAACCTCGTTGGTGCACAGCTTCAGGGAGCCATCCTTGATGGAGCGCAGCTCCAGGGTGCCATCCTCGCTGGTGCGCAGCTCCAGGGTGCCATCCTCGTTGGTGCACAGCTTCAGGGAGCCGATCTTACCGGAGCGCAGCTCCAGGGTGCAACCCTTGCCAAAGCGCAGCTTCAGGGAGCCGAGCTTGGTGCACAACTTCAGGGAGCGGACTTTTCTCAAGCGCAGCTTCAGGGAGCTGACCTCTATGGAGCACAGCTCCAAGGAGCCAACCTTAGTACCGCAAATCTCACCAACACAGCATTCTATGGAGACTTCACTGGCGCCAATCTGTCGACTGCTGTTTGGGAGCGTGGCGAAGCTCCACACTGCACTGATGTCACGTGTGAGGCTTTGAATATCCCAAGATTTTCAAAAAAACCGGCCACAAGGAGCGGTGCCATGGGAGCATTACTTGCAAAGCTCTTCAGAGCATTTCTTCCAGGTGGAGCTGAGGCTGAAGACTCTGATGAAGATGGAGATGACGATGAGACAAAGACAGATGAAGGTGAGTCGAAGGAAGGTGAAGACGGTGAAGATGAAGGTGGAGATGACCAGAAAGATGAGGAGAATCCGGGACTCTTTCTATCCGGGACTCTTTCTTGGGCTCCAACATGTAGTCCTTTATAGCAAGAGAAACCGGATCAACTTGGAATGTATTGGAAACAAGTTTTTGCTGGACGGGAGCAGTTCTACCAGTGCCCCCACAGAAGCAAGTGACTTTGTAGAATCTCGTGGTTGGAGAAACATTTAAAGGTACAGAAGTTCTCCCAACCAGCTCCGGTCCTTCTTTCATGCTTCATGGGTGGCGCACGCAAACCCGGAAATGCAGACTGAAATAGGCACATGCTTCCGCTTTCTGAAGATATCATCGAAAACCTCTCCTTCTCATCGAGAGTGGATAGCACCACAGGCTCAGGGCCGTGCTGCCTTCCCTCCACTTCCTCCTTGTCTCAAGTTGCTTTAACCGTCAAATTTTGGTGTTCACCAGTCAAATTTCAGAACGAATTCCCAGCAGACAAACTTTTGGAGTGCATTGCACTGCACACAATCGTCAAAGGTTTCCCTATGACACCTGTTCTGTGTCCTACTTTGTCTAAAGCTTTATCTTTGGCGGATTCCTTTTCGCAACCGTTTGGTGTCCTCCCAGTGTTTGTATATCTCCCGCTGTTGGAGTGCATGACACCTATTATCCTAATATGCCTGGAAGGCCGCATGGTCCTGTTGGCTTTGTTGCGTCGAACACATAGGTCTACATGCCGCGGGTTAGACTACGATGATAGAAGAACAATCACTCAAAGGCGATCTAGGAAACACCTAAGACGATCATGATTCGTTTGGTTCAACCCTTTTCAATTGAGGACGAAGGTACAAGCGCCCCCTTGCTTTGCAACGGCGCTTGCACGGGCTATTGCAAGGCAGAGGCCATGGAAACCTTGCAAGAGGTTGTGATTGAAGTGGCAGATGAGTCTGCGGAGGCAGCGGGCAGAAAGTTAGATGAGATGATGAAGAAGGCAGAAGATCAATTGGGGGTGGCGCTGAAACACATCGACGCAACCATGAAACCCCACGTCCAGGCTTTGCGACAGATCATGGCCAACAACAAGTTCAAGAAGGTCTTCGGGAAATTGGCACCAGAGCAACAAAAGGCACTTCTGGGAACCATTACCGTTTTGGGGAAGACCGAGAAAGGCAAGACGTTTGCCAAGGGAGTTAAGCAGTTTGAGGATGAGTTGAAGAAGCTTGAAGGCTGGTGTGTGGGAGAATTCATCATGAGAGTTTTGTGATTGGTAACATGATGATCATGTATGATGAATTATATTTGGGGAGTGTGCCTGAGGTGAAGGAATGAGCCCCTTCGTAACAAAGCTGGTTGATTCTCAACTGCAAGCGGCCACTGGCTACTCATCAGGCTCAGCTGAAGCTTTCAGAGTTTCTGAAGGGTTTGCAGAATCGCAGAGGTGTTTGCCCAAACTTCAGGCGAGTTGTTCGCCTTCTTGAAAGTCTCTCCAGCGCAAATGGCTTCGGACATGCACGAGTTGGAGGCACGAGTTCCACAGATGAGTTCAACACGAGTAGGAGCAAGAAGCTACTAGTAACAAAGGGCATCGCTACTAGGAGCAAGAAGCTACTAGTAGCTCATGGCCTTACTACTAGCAACAAGGATGCTAGAACGGAGCAAAGGGCATTTCTTTGTCGAGTTCCAGGACATTTCTGGGTACGTCGAGAAGCTCCAGGAGACGGTGAACGTCAACAACTGGGACGCGACTTGGAATGATTTGCTCCCGGATCGCCAACCACATAGTTTTTTACACAAATAGTAATGATATTCGTTAGCCAGTCTCTAATTGCATGCACGTTCTAGGTTGGCGAAGGTGAGTGAAATCAGAGTCAGCAAGTCGTCTCAGCAAAATGACTGGTCTAAGATCTGAGCTTGTTGAAATTCTTCCCTGGTGAGTCATCTCTCTTGTTCTTAGTTACTTAGTTGAAGTGGAGCTCTTTGGCCGTACCAGTGAAAACAAGGATTATCATTAGAGTGAGTAAGGACAATCAAATAGCAATGGGCTCCAACATAGTAGCGATGGCCTCCAACCTGATAGCAATGGGCAGTGGCCTTATAAGAGTGAATAAGGATAATCAGGGTGTTGCAAAAGACTTTTCCCAAGTCATCCCGATCAAACCTAACAAGTGATGAAGACCAACTAGTGCTCAGTGCTGACACAATAGGACACTTGCTGCAAGCAAGTCCAAGTTATTTGGTGATTTGCCGCTTGCAACTCGTTGGGGACAACCAAGAGCCACACTGTAGAAGGTTCTTTGACAAAGCAAGGGCGATGTTGGAAACAACATGCATGTTGCTGGATGACATATCAGGCAAAGCCAGACGATAGGACATTAATTTCACATAATTCACACATAACAAGACGAGTGTCCTGCTGTGCATTAGACAACAGTTTGTTGCAGTATGTTGACATACAGTTTGTTGTTCTAGTGGGTCTATCACCGGAGTGTGCACGAATTGAATGTAATGCTCTCCGATGCTCTTCCTAATCATTTGCACCTCTATTTGTGTGTCTCCATTATCCACGAGCACTGTGGACTGCCCAAGGACATTGTCGAGAATTTTCTTTGCCTCTATGATCTTCAGTTTCGATTAAAGGGTGAGCGGAGCCGCAAAGTCTTCGCCACCATTTGGAAGGATGAAACGCTGCGGAAATGTGTTGCGGCACCTTGTTTGCATGCCTCCCACACATCGATGTGTCGCTGACGCATCATGCTTTATGATTGCCTGTTTCTGTTCACACTTGGAGTGTTCAAAACATGAATTTTAGCAGTAACATTAGACTCAGTCAGTTCATGTTGCCGCCAAGGTAGGGAGGCATTTCCAGCATGTGTCGCCGCCCAAGGAAAGAGCTGGTTTGTTTTAATAGAGCCCGTCAACCCTGTCGAAGCACTGCCCGACCAAGGACAAGCCTCAATGACCCGCCGGCATTTGTCCTGCACATGGTGAAATATGCCTCGACAATTGTGAAGAAGGGTGCCGTGGGTTGGAAGTTGGCCATGAAGAAGGTGCGATTTGATTTCGTAGAGAACGTGTCTTCATGCTAGTTCTGCTGCACTGACCATGAACCAAACATGGTGCAAAGTGACGTGTCAAGGAGATGACGGCGATAGATTTGATGAAGTCGCGGCAGCAAGCCTTCTTTCAATTCATGATCAGTTGCATCACAGGCGGGGCGAACACAAGCAGCAGCACATCAAACAGGCAGCGAGCGTGGACTGACCTTTGTTTGACGCAGGCTTCTTTGTGTTTGTGGCAACATTCTTCTCGGGCCTTCTGCTTGATGCAGCGAAGAGTGGCCGTGTGAGCATCCCTTACTTTTCCAATTTTCTCATCTCCTTCAACTCCACAGATGCCGTATGAGCGGCTGGCACGCGCAGCGCGCAGCCTGCTGAAAGGCCTGCATATTGAGTGCAACCCGTCAACCGGCGCAATTGATGTTCTATATGTAGAAAGTCAGCCGATTTTCAACCTGCTGACTTTCAAGTTTGTTTGGTTCAGATGTTCTAGACGTGTCCCCGCTGTCAAGTAGTGGGTGGGACATGCCGTTGGGCTCCTCGATTTTGGATAGCTAATAACGGTATCTTAGTTCATAATAAATCATGCACTTCTTCCAATTTGTTTAGAGGGTTGACAAGCTGTTCAGCAGTCCTTTAGTGGATGGATGAATCATGATGAAGCATAATGTAGCAGTACCCTGTCCCAGCTTGACAAACTCGACACTAGTTTTCTTGTTTGTTGATGGGTCATGTTTCTTCAACATCTCACCACTGGGTCATTTCAGGGGCTGTAGAAGTTCAGGCCTTTCCTTTTCTTTTGAGCCCGGAGCTTTGGTTGTGAGAGCCCTTGTACCCGGAAGCGACAACTAGGCGACGTGGTTCATCAATTCTGAACATTTCGACCTTTGGGTACTTGTAGCGTACTGTCCTGCACGTGCAGGGGGTGGGCACCTTTCACAAAGTGAAAGCCAACACTCAGTGTGAGCAGGTCAGTGGGTTTCCCAGATGCACGGCTCACAATAAATGGGTTGACATTCAAGCCAAACAAGGCTGTCTTTTATGGACAGACTTTTGAGTTTTGTGTGAAAAGGCAGCTCAAAGCGCCTTCACGCCAGATGTTTGCATGCAAAGCTTGTTAGGTTCCACGCGGAAGTTTCTGATCGTGTTTTAACCGCTGTCAAAACGGCGAACCCGGGAGCCTGAGTAGATTATCACAGAGCGTTTGCAGATTCCTTGGAGGCACCTGTTACTAGTAGCGATGCACTTGTTACTAGTAGCTTCTTG